TATATATATATATATATATATATATATATATATATATATATATATATATTTTGCCTTTTAACGTTGTTAAATAATTTAGCGATCTTTGAATGTTTAAATTTACTGATGGCCCAGTCTCTTTCACTTCATTAACCCTTCATTGGCTCCAGTGCCTTTGATTTTCATTTTTTTGGCGGGCGGGGTGGGAAGAGGGGGGAGGGGATACATGCAAGTGAGTCTCACTCGTGCTTCTAACATCGTATAAATTAGCATACTCCCCCGGCGACAATTATTCCACTGGCGTGACTCGGTTTTTGCGTACATTAAGTCCCTCGTGAGGCGACGGGGGAGACTGAGTAACTCAAAAATGCCATGTTAGCTGGGAGCATAATGGCAAAAACATATCATGAATAGATATATGAAAGTTTTTTTCTCTTTGCGCTATCTTGCATACTTTATTGAGGTAGGCGCCCCATCTACTGGAATAAAATTTAAAAATTAAGTCATTAAGGATATCCAAGTACACTGTTGGGATTTTTTTTTAATTTAATGGAAGATATTATAGTAAATCTCGTGAGAGTGGCATTGAATCGAATTTAGGAGAAAAGTGGTTATGAAATTTCAGGTTTTAAGTAGAATTCAGGGAAATTCATGAGTTTTCGGTGGGAGTGAGATGGAAATGTAACGACTTAATTGAATATTCAGTGGAACATGAATGCTAAGAAACAAAATGACATAAATTTTCAATTTTTCCCCGAATTTTCCTGATTTTTTAAAATTTTCACAGGACACTTAAACTGAAAAATCAAGTATTTTATTGATTTTCAGATCATTTGAAGAGAAAATCAACGGAATATTTGATTTTTCAATAACAAGATTAGCTGAAATTTCAGTGAAACTTTAACACGATAAAAATTTCCGGAATTTGGCATGGAAAATTCAGACAAAAATTTTTAACAGTACTTTAGTTATTTTTTCTTCAGTAAAATGCTTTTCTACTTTTGTAGTCGGATATCAGAGATTTTATTTGAGCCCCATTTGAGCCCAAGTTTCCGGAAATTTTGCAGTAATTTGATTATTTAAACTTTGCGGGTCTGAATCTCGATGTTGAACCATTGGAAGACATTTTAAAATTCTAAAAAAATGAGAAAGTTTACTTTTGAAGGAAGATGAAATGAAATGATTAAAAAATTTTTTTATTGTTTGGAATTGTAAAAAATTTATTCATATTCAAAATTTTACCGGAAATGGAATTCATGATTTGAAAAATAAGGTTTCCGAAATTTTAAACAATTTCAATGATTTATTCATAAGCACGAATGTTTAAAAAAATAATCATTCTATGCAAAATGTAAGTTAAATGATGCTGGATATTCATGACTTTTTTCACATTTTTCTCACGCAATTTAAATAAAATTTTTATTTACATGATAATGAGTTAAAAAAAAAATGAATAAATTTTTTGCTCATCCAAATAAAGCCTTCATTAGTTGAAAATGGAATCATTAATTAGACATCGAATAGAACGAATTTATCAACATGTCATAATCCCCTATTTGGATTATAAATCATTTCCTGCAATTAAAACATTTCTATTGCCATAAACATATGGGCTTATTCATTTTCATAAAAATCGTTGGAATGGACATAAAAGACAGTTTTATCTGATTTCACTGCATTTTTTTTAAACTCAAAAATGAGACCTGATTTATCCAAATTGTCCCATTAGGTTAGAGCTATTGAAAATGGTCTATTTTGCCCCACTCTACCCTAAAAATAATGCATAAATTGTATTATTTCGTTTTACGCTGGGGGATCTTTTGTATCTCAGGGAATTAATAAAGTGCTTTTGATCCCTCCATCTACCCCATCTTTTGTATTCGCTTTTATCGTCGAGTTTTACAAATATTCACATCCAATAATGCAAAAAGGCCTTCTAGGGAAAATGCAGAATCGCGTGAAGGCGCGTTTCGTGTTACGTTAGTAACACGCAACACGAGTGTGTATACTGTTCTTTATGAAAACGTCAGTGTATTGCCCCCTTTGCTGGAGTGTAGTCCCTTCCGCACCAATACATGGGGTACCTTTAGGGATATACATCGGCACTTTTTGCTGTCCCTGTTACGTCCGATAAGAGGAATGGGGTATCCTTCCTACTCCCTCTCTCGCGTTGGTTTTTCCTTGGAGCATTTGTTGGCTGCGTCGAGAGGCGTTTGAGGAATCTTATTATAAAACTTGCCCCGTCGAGTGGCTCTCGCAGAAAACCGGTTTTTACCATTCTACCGGTTAAACTCCACTAGTTCGACCAATACAACTTGGGGAGAATCAAAGGCGCGAGGACTTCAACGAGCTATTTGTCTTCATGATTCGAATAAGCCATGTTACATGGATGGGATATCGGTTCCGGTATGAAATATTTATTTGATCGATTGATCGGGGCTGTGAGATTTTTATAAAAATGAATCATGGAAGAGTGACGGGGAAGGAGCCGAGACTGGGCCAGCAGTTGGCCGATGGTCTGCCAGACTTGGTTCCATTTTGAAAATTGTTGTCAAGCTTGTTTTCATCAAGTATTCTCAATGGGAATCAATCTGCAAGTGCCGACATCATGCCGACTTTGTTCGACAAGTGTCGGTCCAGCCCTGGGCGACCGTCGGCACGTAAAAAACGGACTCTCCGACCTGCGAAAAACGAGAAAACCGCGAGGCAACTGACAGAGACCTTTCACACGTTCAAAGAATAGGTGAGATGGGAATTATTCGGGGAATAAAGACCTTGAGGGGTCATAACTTTCTTTCCTCCCGCCCACACTCCGCTCCCAGCCATATACAGACTACAAAGAAACAGTGCTCATTACATTCCGCCTTCGTGCGACTTTGAATTTCGTTCGTCCTCGCTTCCTCTCTCAGTTTTTCACTGTCTGAATTTTTTTTCACTCCTCTCTCACTCAGCGAAACAACCGTTAAGGTCCGGGTTTATTCCCAGGTGTATGGCTGTGTACTTGCCGGATTACAACGGAAAAAATACCTCGCTGTATAATCGTATCCAAGAGGGACGACAGAAGCGGAAATTAGAATGATTTTCGTTTCTCCCGTGGATTCTAGACAGAATTATAAATGATTGTTTTTCACGTAAACACTGGACCCTCAGAGCTCAACACAATTGAATCTCTCAAGGACCAATATCAGGTTTATTTCTTCCGCTCTTTGTCTCATTGGTAATTGGCCCCTGTGACGTCAACGTTTTTCCCCTCTTTTCTCATGTTTTTCGCCGACTTTGCCTGGATTATATATACCTCAGACAAGTGTTCAGAAAAAACGTTAACGTAAAATGAACAAAACCAAGGCCACGTCACTTCTATCGCAGCCCGCATCCACCACGTTTGGCTCACCAGCGTTTTTGTTTGATACCAATCTTCTGAAAAACCACTTCAAGGGAGAGAAAAAGAGAAATAAAATGAAACAATTGGAACGTGTCCTCTGGCTGGATATTTTTTTACCTTGACCAAGAGAAGCCAACACCAGTGGCGTTAAAGGAACAATGTTAAAGCCTCGAGTTTTATTTTTTTCCCATCAACTTTTTTCCCCCTCCACAGTCTATGAACAATATCGAAGATATTGAAGATTTCAAAGTTTACGTCATTTCCGATAAAAAAAATTATATTTTTTACTGTTGACGTTTTTACGAGGCAGTAACCCCAGGTAAATATTTCCTCACACTTCTGTTTCACCGTCACATTTCATTACCTTGAGCGACACGAACAGCAGCAACTCACTTTCAATTCATATCATTCTATTTTATTACCTTCCGCCCCTTCTCTTTTACTTCCGTCTTTGGGTTTTTCTTTTTATCCAGCATTTCGCCTTGTTATCCCTTTGTTCGTTCCACCTGATGTCTACCCCCTCGACGAAACCCGCTGACTTTAATCGAATTACATGCAGGTATTATATACCAAGTTAAAGTTGAAACAGGGTGAAGTAGATGTAAAGTTTTCTCCTGTGTCACTCAACAATGCATATCCTCTTTATCATCATGGAGACATTAAACTAACATCACTCACCTCATTTGCACTCCTTGTCAGTAATGAAGACATCATGAAACTTTATTTGAACCGCATTCATGGTGCTGTGCCAACACTTGATAACTGAGTTTGGTCGAGTGTTATCACTCCAAAATTGACGAATCAGTGAGTCAGCCTAGGGGCCAACATTGGGCCGAGGTTCGATCACCGGCGGCCTGAGCCTGGGCCAATGTTGGGTAAAATCTGACCCGTTTCTCCCCAAATAGAAATTACTACGACAACATGTCAAAGATGGCTCTTGCGGATTTACTAACAGCAGCAACTCACTTTCAATTCATATCATTCCATTTTATTACCTTCCGCTCCTTCTCTTTTACTTCCGTTTTTGGATTTTTCTTTTTATTCAGCATTTCGCCTTGTTATCCCTTTGTTCGTTCCACCTGATGTCTACCCCCTCGACGAAACCCGCTGACTTTAATCGAATTACATGCAGATATTATATACCAAGTTAAAGTTGAAACAGGGTGAAGTAGATGTAAAG